AAAGTTTAATATTTTGATAATAATCATATGTATTGGACTTTTCAAGAAAATTTTTTTATATTTGTTTTTAATGCATTAAAGTGTTATTATGAGGGTAAGACTTAGGGGTTGGGAGAAGTTAATAAATGTTAAGTTTTTTTTTAAAATCAAAAAATCAAAAAATTTATATTGGGAGATTGGAGCTCTTACAAGGCTTGGGGTTAAAAATCTATTTTTGCTTAATATATAGTATAGAAGTATAGATAAGTAAAATAGGGTTTGTAACCACAAGTCTTGTAGGAGTTTCAATATTTCAAACTAAAATTTCTAATTTTTTGATTTTAAATAATTAAAAAAATCCTCTATAGCTTTCATTCAAGCAAAATAAATAAATAATAATCTTAATTAATTAATTAATATCTAATATCTCTTAATTTATGACTTTCAAATGGAAAGTATATCAAATATATAAAATAAAAAATAGAAAGTACACCAATCCATTTCAAAATTCAAATTTGAGGGGCACTAAATATGGAAAGTATTTTATTAATTTAAATTTAAAATTATAATCATTTATCCCACAAGACATAAGTTTTAAATAATGATATATTCCATGATTTATCTATATACTATTATAATTTCAAAATATTGTCATTTCATTAAGGTTGAAAGTTGTAATTTTTTTTTCGTTTTTTTTATTTTGTTTAATTTTTTGTTAATACGTGTTACAATAGGGTTGGTTTATAAATTAATTTTATATTCTGAAAATAAAATTTCAAATTTGGATTTTTACTTAAATTATGTTACTATAATTGGAATGAGATCAATATTCATTCCTTAAATTTTGAATCCTTTATTAAATTATAAAATAAAATTTCAAATGTGAATTCTTCTTCAAATTATATTACTACGATTAGAATGAGTTCAATATTTACACGTGTCATAATATTATTGGTCTAAATATAAATTTGTGTTAAATACAATGTGTTCAAATTTATTAAATTCCTCCTTACCTTTTTTTTATTCAAATACTTTTATTTTGTAAGAAATTTGTTTTTATTCTATTTAATATTTTGTTGTAATTTTAAATTAAAAAGAATTTCTAAAAAATCATATTTAAATTATGTATGCAATTATAAAAAATAAATTTTTTTAACTTCAACTTAGTGGTAGTTTGGGAAGTGTCAAATAAGCATACTTTTTTACTTTTTATAAAAATATTAATAGAAAAGTAGAGATATAATGTGACCCAAAAAGATAATTAAGTATATATTTTTTTTACTTTTTACGAAATGCTCTGTAGAAAAGTAGAGATGTGATGTGACCAAAAAAAAGATAAAAAGATTATAAAAAAAAAAATGAACTAATATGACACTTCTCAAACAACCTTTTATTCGATGATCCCTTTCTATAAGGTATATTTTCAATAAAAATTCTATTGGAAATCTCAAGTATATTGTTTTTTCTTTTATTCGTTAATATTAAATTTTTAATTAATCTAATTTATTATTTTAAAAAATAAATTAGCAAATAATTCATATATTTATATATATAATTTCGTTTTGGTTGCTCAAGTTATTTGGTGGTTCTGCCCAAATCCACTCAAATTTAATTTGAATTTATGAATTTCTGTATAGGTTCTCACTTAATTAAAAACTATGTTATTCAATCTTTAAAAGATTTTAAGCTCGACTCAAGGTGCTTGGGTTGGGTTGAGCTCACCTAAGTTTGCAATTCTAGCAAGGGGGGTTTAAAGTTACATAAATAAATTGTGAAAAAATTGTGAGACTTAAATTTTAATTTCAATCTTTTTTGTTTTCATAATTTGCATAAAAAATTTAACTGTGATAAAATTTTGCATCCTTTATTAAATTATAAAATAAAATTTTAAATTTAAATTCTTCTTCAAAATATATTACTACAATTAGAATGAGATCAATATTCACATCCTTGGGATTGGAGTGGCTGACATAGCAAGAACATGAGGGGCCATATAGACATCACCTTTCAAGGCGCCATTTGATGAACTAGTCACAGCCATTCTTGAACTTATTGAGGTATAATATAACTGCAGGATAAGAAGCTACATTGATCAGGTCATGTTACAAAAAGAATAAATGCACAAAGGAAATCAAAGTCCCCAGGATCAGAGTATTATTTTCTGCAAAACTTATGAGGCAACGGACAACCTTTCAAGAGGATGCAACAAACATCATCACATATATGATCACTGGTGATGCCTAAATAAACATTTCTTAATCCTGGACGAGGGAGAAGGAAATAGTGGGGGTAATTGGATGGCAGTTTCTGTTCTCTACCAATACACTGACAGTAGTCTGTAGCATTCTAAAAGTGGATCACAGCTACGATGCACTGATCTATGGTTCACATAAGGACAAACATAAATCAACATTTTTGCAGGGATTTAATACAGGAAAGTAACAACAAAAATATTAAGGCAGCGAGAAGAATGCAAAAGGACCAAATTTTAATGAAAATGATAAGAAGATAGATTGTGTTAAGAATGGTATAACCATAACAAACACCAACAGCAAAGTGATCTAACAAGTTACGCAATGGCATTCTAATCGAGTTTGTTTCGATATTTCAAAAGCACCAGAAATATCATCTATGCTTTCCATTCAGATAATTTGATTTGTAATTATTCTCTAGTGCATCTTCAGCATTAACTAAGGTTACACTGTAAATTTCCATATTTTGCACCATTTTCAAAAGTTCACTCACAATTTTTTTTGCTTAACATCGTATCAAGCTCTACACTAATATCTATGCATTCATTGAAACTAAACATTTTTTCCTTTTATCTCCCTTCTGGATCAAAGATTGAGTAGAATCCCACAATTAGAGACTGATTAAAGCACTGATTTCTTGCCTTTATGCTTGCATAAATAAATAACAGATTATATCAGGAATGTTCTCCCAAGAGTTCTGAACTGGAAAGGTAATTGGACTTGAAGATCTAATAATGGTCTGCCTATATATATGGCCAGTGGATATGAAGAAACAAGGTCTCTGGGTTACTAGATAAGGATGCAGTTCCACAGGTGGTTAAAGTTGTCTGCTACTGCTTACCTCCATGTTACAGTGGTTTTTCTTTTTCGTACTCTTTGACTTTTTCATTTTTTTATCTTCAGTTTGTTGCTCCAAAGATACTAGCAAAGGAAAATGTTTGAGACACAAAAAAAGCTCCCACAATTTGACCCACAATGATGTAGTATGATAGGTGTCAACTTTTGATTTGTTACACACCCAATGATATAATGCCTAACTACCTTGCTACATCATTGTGGGTCTAAAATAGTGGGTCTCTAACATTCTCATTAGCAAAATAGTGACTTTTTCTTTCATAATTTTAGCAGAGATACAATCTCAGGGCAGTGAAAACAAAACCACCTTGCTGTTAAACCTTCCTCTCTGGATCACACCAAAACGATGTTGCTCGTCTACCACTGCAATGCGTAAAGCTGAGAATTCCACCTTTTCTGCTATTAGACTGTGGGTACCAATGACCAATGAGATATCTCCACTCTGGAGACCCTGCCAACCAATAATAGAAAAGATAAAAATCTTTAAAATGTCATAATCTACTATTCATAACTGCCACATTACAATACATGCCTCACGAACGAGCCGTGATTGTTTCGATGGGGTTGAGCCCGTTAGCAAAGCGACAGAAGGTTTACAATCAACATGCTCCATATTCTCTAGCAAATTAAGAAAGTGCTCATAGTGCTGGACAGCAAGCAACTCAGTTGGAACCATGAAAGCTGCCTACAAATAAACAAAGTAATCTAACAATCACTTTTAATTCTGTAAGATTACGTATGGAGCAAATGTTGAGACTAAACACCATGCTGAGAAATCAATTATCAAACAAACAAATTAGACTCTGAAATCTCATAATTGAAGTCAATCACTACTATCCAATATCAATAATGAAAACTTTACATGGCCTACCTGATAACCTGCACCAATAACCTCCATACATGCCAAAAAAGCTACCACAGTCTTCCCACAACCAACATCTCCCTGAGAAAAAAACGATTGAGATAATCAAAACAAGGAGATTCCCTTAAAAGAAAATAAATTGTTTTTGGGTAAGTGACAAAATAAATCTTACATCTCTTTCCAACCAAATCCCCCTATGTCTTATCCATCAAATAAAGAATATATGATATGGTAGAGACATATAAGGTCGAAGTAGTTGCAAGGATTTTACCCAAACCGACGGTGTAACAATGTTGTATAGTTGACTTCTCTCTATGAATGAGTTCGTGTGCAAGTGTGTGTGGGGTAGGGTGACAAATGGGTGGGTGTGGGTGCCTAGTTATGTGAATGTGTCTATGCTAAATGGGGTAAAGAAATTAGGATGAATATAAGTTCACTGTCTTAGATAACCAATTCTCTCAAAATTTTAAGTTGTTAGGAAATGTCCAATATATATCAAGCTATCTAACACCTTCCCTCTCTCACATAGACAAGCAAGGAGGATATATAATCTCAACTAAGGAGCACAAACACACAAAACACAGTGCACAATAAACAACACAACTAGGGAACAAATACATACTAGGTGACTTCAACCCAAAATAAAAGTAAAAATTCATAGACAAAATCCAAAAATAGCAACTTAAAAGTCTCACAACATCTATTGAAGTTCAAATTTTAATTTGAAAACAACAATAATTGATTAGATATGAGATACAAATTAAAGAACAACAGTATGTTAAGGGAAAAAAATATAAATCCAATACCTGCAAAAGTCGATTCATAGGAACTGGCCGCTTGAGATCCCAAATAATTTCTGAAACAGCAGTTAACTGACTTGAAGTAAGAGAGTAAGGAAGAGCCTTCAAAAAATTCTTTGTAAGACTAGACCATTCCTCCATAAATACAGAATTCAATACAGGCTTCCTATACTTATCCAACAATACATCTTTCTCTATCTGTGTACCAAGACCTTCAAGCATTTGAAACAAACGGCCCAACTGACAAAAGAGGATAATAGCGATAGTCAGGGGTTGCATGCAATCAATGCACAAAAAAGGCAAGATGGACGAGCACCAGCATCAACAAAGTGACGACGAGATATTTTTTTGATAAATAATAAATTTTATAGAGAAAGCATAAAGATGATGCAACTAAAACAAAACAACCAATAGAAGGAAACAAAACTCGCCTAACCAATTATATCATCCAAAAAATCTAAGAAAGAAAAAAGATCCGGATCAACTTTACACTCCAACCCCAAACCTAAACATGCCCCACCATACTTTACCCATCCTCACCCCAAATAGGTTGTATGACAAACAAATGCAACATCATAACAGATTTGAGAGGAGAAGGATGTTGCAAAACTAACTTATATGTCGTATCAAATATAGAGATGGCCATGGGACAAAAACAGGGGGAAATGAAAAATCTAATCTCAACTTCTGTTTGAACATTGGGCCTAGGAGTGGTGATCTTTATCTTCTCTGATCCATTTTTGTCAAATTATGAACATATGCTCAAATTAAGAAAATGCACATATGCACATATGCTCAATATAACAAAAAATAACAAAAATCACTAACCTAAGGAAGACAAAATTTGAGAACAACCAACCAACCTTAAACACACAACATTACCAAACAGGTCATGAATTAAGTAGTGACTTGAAAGCAATTTCCGTGTTCGTATTAATGCTAATAGTCCTAAAAATTTAAGCTTTTAGCACAACAAATAAGGATATATAAAATTTCATAAAGCCACAATCCAAAACAACCAAACTGTTACATTCCACAAACCAACTTGGTAAAAGCACTTAAACATCAAACAGTAAATTAATTGAACCAAATTGAGCATAGTGGGAGTAGAGCACTAACAAAGGACAAAGTAGCTATCTAATGACTACATAATAAAAAATGATGAAAAAATATAGAGAAAAATTAGAAAATTACCATGGAAGACGACAAAAGGTAGAGAACATGTGGTTGTTAGTGTACAAGTTAAAGTGAAGATAAATAATTCCATGGCTTGGTTTGAACTTAGAGTTACTAAAGAACATATCCAGTGTGATGCTGTTACATGATAAGTTAAGTAGTGTGTACAAAGATCTCTCCTAAAAACTTAATGGATGGATAGAGGAAAGAATTAGTAACTCTAAGTTCACCTTCTCTTTAAAACGAAGGCAATAAAAATAAGAAAATAGAAGAAATGAAAGGAAGAACAAATAATATTGTGCCCGATTATCTTCTTTTCCAATTATATCGTTATTAGAGAAATCTGAAGCCACAGTTACACACCATAATCAATATTGCCTCTATAAACAGTCCAATCAACTAAGATTCTTTTTATTTCTTCAAAAATAACTGGTTTCCTAAATGAGAAAATTTTCTTTTATTCCTTTTAATGTACTAATGTTGTAAACTTGTCAGAAACCATTTTTTTTTTCTACTCTATCCTTTCCCATAATACTCCCATCTACTCATACTGATTAAAATCACATGCTGCTCAAGAATCCCTGTATCTACTCCAAATTTGAAGGTTGTTTCATTCTTGACTAACCATGCAATTATGTGAAGGTTATTGTAGTTTAGAAGCCTATAGAAATTATGGCTCGGTTTGATAAAGAAGAAAAATAATTTGGGTACTTGCTTAAAAGAAGCCATTGATTTTGGTAAAAATAACAACAAAACCAAAGAAAAACCCAAAATTTAGCATTAAAGCATTGGAAAAATGTAGGGGTTTGATTCATGGAAGTTTGAGAGGTGTAGGAATTCTGGGTTGGGATTGTTTTGAAAGATTTTCACAGGAAACAAGCAGAGATCTAATGTAAATTTCGAAGTCCTCTGTTTATGGTATAAAATGAGAAGATACATGTGCCCCTTTTATTAGTACACACAGGACAAATATTTAGCACATAAATCATACAACCTAGATTGATCTTATAAGAACATGATGTCATACTGGTTCAGGAATTTTTTCAAACATTTGGTACCTATATATATATTGCCAAAGCAGAAAGCTAAAAATAATTTTATAGCACAAATCCAATTAAACAAATAAATAGAACAAATCCAAGTTCAAACCAACAGAAGAATTCCATCATTGCTAAACCCAAGAAAAATTATTCATTGAAATCCATCATCAATTTACAGCAACGAACCCTATACATAGATAGTAGAAAAAGCCTAACATAAATATCCTAAACTTCACCCACTTATCATTTCAAATAAAAAATGAAAACAAATCCAAAATTTATGATAGCTATTTCACCACCCAAAAAAATTAAATAAATAAATAATAACAGAAACATATTTCCAAAAATATTCAAGATAAGACATTGATCTTGTTAACATAATCCATGCATAGCACGGGTTACTACTAGTTCACATATATAGATAATTGTAAACATAATCCGTGCATAGCACGGGTGATATGCTAGTTGATCAGTAATGGGAAATGAAACTCTCTAAATTTGTGGCAAATTTTTATCAAGGTATTTTGTAGATTTAGAGAGAACTAGTCATGAGTCAAGTGAAAGCTAATTTGATATACTTTGATCAAGGTATTTGGACAGCAGTAGCTGCTCTCAGTGGTCTGGTACATAATCTGTTAGGATGTCTGGTTCATAATCTGTTCTATTTTGGCCAAATTCAAACAATTTGAAAATAAATTAGTCTACATTGTACTTTGCCACTTTACTACTTAAATATGTTCCATCTCAATCTATGTTATATACTTAGAGAACTAAGGAAAGATTAGAGATAGACAACGTCATATGATTTTCTTTGTATGATACACATTGTGCATTCCTAAATGGAATAGGTTAATAGTACACATGATGCGTTTTATGACATAAACAAATTAAAAAAAACTTGATCTTTCATTTGTGATCAGACATGGACAAGAGTTGGATTGCATTGGGTAAGACACCTGATGGAAGGATGAGTCAGCCATTTATTGATGGGGTGACATCATTTATCAAATTTGCAATGGCAGTTGTTGACCAGGAAGGTAAAATTCCGTGCCCATGTTTGAACTGTGTGAACTATTATTCAAAGTGACGACGAGATATTTTTTTGATAAATAATAAATTTTATAGAGAAAGCATAAAGATGATGCAACTAAAACAAAACAACCAATAGAAGGAAACAAAACTCGCCTAACCAATTACATCATCCAAAAAATCTAAGAAAGAAAAAAGATCCGGATCAACTTTACACTCCAACCCCAAACCTAAACATGAAAGAGTAAGGCTTACAATGGTAAGCATGAGAAACGAAAGAGATCTTTAGAGTTACCGGTGGAAAAGATATTAGAGCAATTGGATAGAGTGACAGGTGTCACATATGGGAAGCATCCAAGAAACAAGAAAAGACTTCGTCAGGCACCAAATTGGACTAAGGTAAGCATCTTGTATGAGTTACCATACTGGAAGAAACGGAAGCTTCGACACAATATTGATGTTATGCACGTCGAGAAGAATTTTAGTGAAAGTACCTTTGGAACTATGTTAGGCATTGATGGAAAGAACAAAGACATCGACAAAGCACAGATGGACTTGGAAGATATGGGTATAAGGAATGAGTTGTGGTTAACACGTCGTCCTGATGGAACTTATGTCAAACCTAGGGCAATCTTTTCATTGACCCCTGATGAGAGGGAGGGTTTCTTTGAATTCTTGAAATTAGTGAAGTATCCGGATGGCTATGCTGCAAACATATCAAGATCAGTGAATGCGAGAAATGGTAAATTAACAGGCTTGAAAAGTCATGACTGCCATGTACTCATACAACGGATTCTTCCAATTGGGATGCGTGGTTACGTAGACAAAGAGATTAGTAAAACACTATTTGAGTTAGGTAGCTTTTTTCAGGATTTGTGCTCAAGGACACTGCGCCGTAATGAACTTGAGAAATTAGAGGAACGTATAGTACACATATTATGCAAGCTTGAAAAGATTCCTCCAGCCTTCTTTGATGTGATGGTTCACTTGGTCGTTCACTTGCTGCGTGAGGCTATTCTTGGAGGACCGGTGCAATATCGATGGATGTACCGGATTGAAAGGTAATTGTTAAATTGAAAGATTCGTAATTATATGTTGCATGTGTAACCTTGCTCTTAACTAATTCTCTTTTCAAGGTTTCTCGGAGCTTTAAAAAAGTTTGTTACAAACCGAGCTCGACCAGAAGGTTCAATCGCAGAGGCTTACATTGTCAAAGAGTGCATTACTTTTTGTTCAATGTATGTTGATGGGATCGAAACAGTGCATAATCGACCCGAACGAAATCAAGATCGTGGCGAACGTCACAAAGGGTTAACTGTATTCACAGAAACTGCCCGTCCTATTGGCCTAATCACAAGGGATGTTGATATGTCACAAGAATATCGTGATATGGCTCATTGGTTCTTGTTGAACAATAGCCCCGAGATAGAGAAGTATCTAGAGTATGTTTTTCATTTAAATATGTGTATTCTTAGCTTTGTTAATGTAGTTAGCAGTGCATAATAATCACATTCTTTTGAGTAGGATACACAAAAATCTATTACGGACTCCATCTGACCAAGGCATAACCCGTATACAACAACAAGAGTTTCCCAAGTGGTTCAAAGAGCAGGTAAGGCATTTTCAATTTTAAGACATGATTAAAAATTTGTATAAGATTTGATCATTTATTAATTTATTTTTTCTATCTTAATGTACGTTATATGTGAATGTAGATAAATATATTGGGAGAAGAAAAGTCACCTGAAGGAACCAATGATTTATGGTCGTTAGCAAATGGCCCAAATTTGCTAGTAAAAGAGTACTCAGGTTGCATAATCAATGGCGTACGGTTTCGTACAAGAGAAGTAGACAATCGCCGTAAGAGTTAGAATAGTGGTGTGCTTACGGAAGGGGATCATGAGGGAGTGACACATGAATTTTATGGTCACTTGTGCAATGTTTGGGAATTGGAGTACATGTGTCATAACAAAGTTATATTGTTCCAGTGTGAATGGTACAACACAGGAAACATAGGTCGAAGTAGAACATTGCGAACCGATGATTATTGCACAAGTATTGATGTCACAAGTCGGTGGTATCAACACGACCCTTTCGTCTTGCCTAGCCAGGCTAAGCAAGTCTTTTACCTAAATGATACCAAATGGGGACAGCCTTGGCAAGTCGTTCAACGAGTGCAACATAGGGGTGTCTTTGATATACCAGAGGTAGGTGATGGAGAATCGTTACATGAACCAGAAGAAAACGATGTGTTCCAACAAGAAAATATTACCGATGTTGTTCCAATTGACATCGGCCCTAATGTTCAATGTTATAAAGATGGTGTTGAAGCAGAAGTTATTACAAGGGTTAGGTCATCTGATGAAACAATGATACAGAATAGAGCTGACAAACAAAATGAAGAGTGTGACGAACCTGATGTGGATTACGATATGGATCTTGACGTAGACTAGGATTTGTAGTTATTTTGCACTTTCTATATGAACATTGTTCTTAATTAATGTAGTTGAATTTCAGTTGTGGGGTTCATCCACTGTTATGTAGGTTTATCATTGATTGGTCATATTGTGTGTCTGATGGCTTTGTAATTAATTTGTTCTATGATAAGTAAATGGTAAAAACAAAAATCATCCATATCACTCTAGCCATATTTCAATGATTTAGAGCCTATATGACATATCCACTTGTTGAGATTGTTGTTGCTTTATGCTTTATGTATAGAAATATATAATTATATTTTCTTTACATCTAATGTTCAATTATGCGTATCCACCAAAAAAATGTTCAATTATGCTTTATAGTTGGGCAAAATGGACGCTACAAAAAAGCAATTGACCAAACCAAGTACCGCAACTAAGAAGGTAACGAACTATGAGAAACAAAGAATGAAGAATATTAATAAAAACCGTGAGAGAATGAATGCTCTAGGAGTGAAGAATATAACAACTTGTTTGAAGGCTACGGTTCAACATAAGAAATTGAGGAAGGAAAAACGAATACCAATTGAGGAAAATGACGATGATTATCGACCGTCAGAGGCTGAAGATGGCAGTGACACTGAAACCTATGATTCGTTTGAGCATGAGGTACTATACATTTATGCATTGTGAAATATATTCTTTCTTGTTACTTTCAATTCATACACACATTGACATGTATATCTTTGTACATATATTCATATTTTATTATGTTATTCAGCTGTTAGAGATACCATCGAGAGCCCGTTCACAATCTCATCATGAGGCATTGACCCACGCATTAGAAGAGGGGGATACCTCTTCACGTCCTGAGGTGACTAGCAATCCGCCACCACCTCTCAATGTGGAGCCTCAACTTGAGGTGACTGCTGGTAATACTATTGGTAAGACACACTCTTTATTTACATTGATTTGAGATCTTAATTAAATTTGTTCACATACTATTTCAATATTATGGCTTCACAATATCAGCTGCTAAGCGTGCTCGTGGCCCGACTCGAGGCAAAGAGGTTCAAGGCCTTGTTGATAAAGATGGAAAGCTTAGCGTGCCTATCCCTCCAGAATTTCGTGCACCGGTAGGGGACTATGCCGCAAAACTAGCCTCAAAGATTGGTGTAGAAGTGCGAACTCGTTTACCAAATCCAAGTGTTCGTAGGTGGAAGTATGTTGATGCCTCCATTAAGGAGGCGGTGTTTCAACGCTTGAATAATCACATTCTTTTGAGTAGGATACACAAAAATCTATTACGGACTCCATCTGACCAAGGCATAACCCGTATACAACAACAAGAGTTTCCCAAGTGGTTCAAAGAGCGGGTAAGGCATTTTCAATTTTAAGACATGGTTAAAAATTTGTATAAGATTTGATCATTTATTAATTTATTTTTACTATCTTAATGTACGTTATATGTGAATGTAGATAAATATATTGAGAGAAGAAAAGTCACCAGAAGCAACCAATGCGGAAGAAAGAAAGGGTTATGAGTTTGGTATCAGTAATTGTTCCATATCTTGTGAAATGTAAATGGATTTTTTCACAATCTATCTTGTCCATGCTTATATGCCCCCTATTTGTGAACGGTGTAAATTACTTGTTTTTCTTTTTTCACCCAAAAAAATCATCTTATGATGAAATCTCAATAAGTCCTCTAATCTATTTTTCACAGAATTGAATGAAACTAGTGAATAATTTGAAATATCTTTTAAGTTGAAATGATATATAGGAAAATGATAGAGAGGAACAATGCAATTTCTTTATTATCAACCATTAAATTTGTTTTACTAGTGATACATTTCATTGTTATATTGGTCATTCTTCCTTATAGGAACAATCAAAAGCCAACATATTTGTCTTACTAATGATACATTTCATTGTTATATTGGTCATTCTTCCTTATAGGAACAATCAATGGCCAACATCGCGAACAGAGAAAGGATGTATACAAAACATAGGTGTGGTTCTAGGTCAATCCTTGTTAGAGTAGAAAAACTGGTACGTATCCTTGCACTTTTAGAATTATATTAGATTCTTATCTTTATTTATTGAATATTTGGTCTATCGAATTACCTGATCTAGCAGAGTTGTACAAGGAAACTCACTATAATGAGAAAACACATGAGTGGATCTCATCTCAAGCTCAGTGTAATTATGTGAGTATATATTGTAATTTTTATTAACAAAATTTTAGAATACTATTTGTTATAATCTTATTTAATTTTCTAATAATTATTTAATTTTTTTTATATTTGATAGGATAATATGATACAGACACAGGCTGATCACCTCTCACAATCGGGATCAACCCCTTTGACTGCAGAAGAGCTATCAATCAAAGTCCTAAAGCCAAGGTCTGGCTATGTGAAGGGACTTGGCATGAGACCTTCATCCTCTATTAGGAGAGCCACTACCATATATGCTGAAACAAATGATTATGTGAAGCGCCTTGAGATGCAAATAGAGACACAAAAGGAACAAATACAAATGCAGAACAATAAAATAGAAGATCTTGAAGAGGGTAAGAAGAAGCAAGGGGAGATAATGGCTGATGTTGTCAACTTTTTGAGGACCAAAGGATTCACTGGACACTTTGGAAGTGGAGGGGACTCATCCACAAGTGGACATACTTCTTGGTAAAGTATATTAACTTTAATATAACAAATTTTATAAAAGAATACATGTTTGAAGAATTAGGAAGTAAATGGAAACATGCATATGACATCCAATTTGTACAGGTGCACATGATGTATAAATTGTGAATTAGTCTAAAAAATATATTTTTTTCTCTATACTTAAAGCTTGAAAAAAGGCTGTCGAAATGCTAAATTATCACACAATTATAGATTTGTACAAGAACCAATAGAAACACCTTAGGAGAAACCAATATAAGTTGTATGAACTTACGACACATTAATGGGATGCACCATTTGTGAATTAGCCTTAAAATTAATTTTTTGTTCTCATAATCTAAAAAAAAGTCTGTTACAGGGATAAATTGTATAATTGATCTAATTGTAAATTGATGAGTTACTAATGTTTTAGTCTTTTGTATAATTGATTAATTACTAAAACTTTTAATTTATTTTTTTGCAGATTGGATTGGGGTGGCATTTTTGACATGCAACAATGATGTAATTTGTTTGAATGTTCATTTTTGTTTGATAAGGATACACATACTTTTTGGAGTTACACTAGTTATTGTTGGATTTTTGGTGGAATTGAACAAGTTATAATTTTTGGATATTTTGTGGATATTTCACTATTTTATTATATCAGGATGAAATTATTTGTAATGATGAATGGATATTTTCATTTTGTTAATTCGTAAATGTGTTGATAACAGGTTAGGTTAAGTTGTGATGGAATTGTTATATTCAACAGGTTTCAACATGAACAGGGTCATATTTGTTGAACTAAAATTTAGATTTTAATAAAATAGGTATATAATGTGGAAAAAAATATTATGAAATTATTGACAAAGTTTTTCATCCCTAAAGAAGGTTTTTTTTGTCTCTTATTTGGCTTAGGTGGATGATTAATTTTGTTATAAATTCTTTATTTCGTCGCTAAATGAATTTGTCATGACAAAAAATATTGTCACATTTTGTCACTATTACCCTTAATGTGTGACGAATTTTTTTTGACATTATTTCATCATTTTTAATGATGAATTTGTTTTTATCTCTATTGGTAGCTTCTTTGACAAAAAATTTTCGGCTTCGTTTATATTAAACGTGACAAAATTATTTTGTCTCCATTTCTTATATTTATGACAAAATACTTTTGTCTCTAATTTCTCCTTTAATGACAAAATATTTTGTCGCTAATTACTTATAAGTATGTTCCCAACAGAGTGTATTGGAGACAAAAAAAATTTGTTTTTGTCATTTTTAATGATTTTGTTTTTGTCACAAATTTATCATTTTTAATGATGAATTTGTTTTTGTCTCTATTGGTAGCTTATTTGAAAAATTTTTTTTGTCTTCGTTTATATTAAACGTGACAAAATTATTTCGTCTCTATTTCTTATATTTATGACAAAATACTTTTGTCTCTAATTTCTTCTTTAATGACAAAATATTTTGTCGCTAATTACTTGCAAGTATGTTCCCAACAGAGTGTATTGGAGACAAAAAAATTCATCACAAATTTATCATTTTTAATGATGAATTTGTTTTTGTCTCTATTGGTAGCTTCTTTGACAAAAAATTGTCGTCTTCGTTTATATTAAACGTGAGAAGATTATTTCGTCTCTATTTCTTATATTTATGACGAAATACTTTTGTCTCTAATTTCTTCTTTAATGACAAAATATTTTGTCGCTAATTACTTACAAGTATGTTCCCAACAAAGTGTATTGGAGACAAAAAAATTTGTCACAAATTTATCATTTTCAATGACGATTTTTTTTTTTCGTCTCTAAGACCCTTTAGCGACGGCCCTTTGGAGACAAAACGGGTGACGAAAAATGTTCGTCGTAATTAGTTTGGGTGACGAAATATATACATTTTGGGACAAATTTGTTTCGTCTTTAAAATTGAAAAAATGATAATATTCTCAATAGTTTATAGGGTCTATGTGTCGTTTTGTCTTATAGGCTATTTTAGCCTATTTTATCTTTTAGTGCTATTTTAGCCCAAAAGAAACTAAAAAAAAGCTTTGTCCCAAACACCCCCTTATGTACTTTTCTCAAACGTAACTTTCACATTTTGAAATTATATAATTACCCAAAACTTACTAAGGAATTTTTATACTCATTTTGTAATAGTTTGAATAATCCCACACCATTTTGGAATGGTTTGAAGAATCTCACATCTTTTTTTTTGGAGCGTTACATTGAAAAATTACGTTTGGAAAAAGTATATTAAAGATTTTTTTTTTTTTTTTTGGTTTACTTTTGGGTGAAAAAAAAAAAAAACACAAAAGGGAAAAAAAAAAAAAAAAAGGAGGAAAGAATTTTTTTTTAAACAACTTTAAGAAAGGGGGAAAAAACAAAATTAAATTAAAGTTTTGTTAAAATGAAAAAACTTACGACACATTTAAAATGGGAAATGCACCATTTTGTGAATAAGCCTAAAATTAATTTTTTTTGTTCTCATAATCTAAAAAAAAGTTCTGTTTTACAGGGATTAAATTGTATAATTGATCTTTTAATTGTAAAATTGAATGAGTACTAAATGTTTTTTTTTAGCCTTTGGGTATAATTGGAATTAATTACTAAAACTTTTAATTTATTTTTGTTTGCAACAGATTGGATTGGGGGTGGCCAAATTTTTGACATGCAACAATGAAATGTAATTGTTTTGAATGTTATTTTTGTTTGATAAGGATACACATACTTTTGGAGTACACTAGTTATTGTTGGATTTTTGTGAATTGAACAATGTTATAATTTTGGATATTTTGTGGATATTTCACTATTTTATTATATCAGGATGAATTATTTGTAATGATGAATGGATATTTTCATTTTGTTAATCGTAATGTGTTGATAACAGTTAGGTTAAGTTGTGATGGAATTGTTAATTCAACAGTTTCAACATGAACAGGTCATATTTGTTGAACTAAAATTTAATTTTAATAAATAGGTATATAATGTGGAAAAAATATTATGAAATTATTGACAAAGTTTTCATCCCTAAAGAAGTTTTTTTTGTCTCTTATTTGGCTTAGGTGATGATAATTTTGTTATAAATTCTTTATTTCGTCGCTAAATGAATTTGTCATGACAAAAAATATTGTCACATTTTGTCACTATTACCCTTAATGTGTGACGATTTTTTTTGACATTATTTCATCATTTTTAATGATGAATTTGTTTTATCTCTATTGGTAGCTTTTTTGACAAAAAATTTTCGCTTCGTTTATATTAAACGTGACAAAATTATTTGTCTCCATTTCTTATATTATGACAAATATTTTGTCTCTAATTTCTCTTTAATGACAAAATATTTTGTCGCTAATTACTTATAAGTATTGTTCCCAAAGATGTATTGGAGACAAAAAAATTTTTTTTGTCATTTTTAATGATTTGTTTTGTCAAATTTATCATTTTAATGATGAATTTGTTTTGTCTCTATTGGTAGCTTATTTGACAAATTTTTTTGTCTTCGTATATTAAACGTGACAAAATTATTCGTCTCTATTTCTTATATTTATGACAAAATACTTTTGTCTCTATTTCTTCTTAATGACAAAATATTTTGTGCTATTACTTGCAAGTATGTTCCAAAGAGTGTATGGAGACAAAAAATTCTAACAAAATTATCATTTTAATGATGAATTGTTTTTGTCTCTATTGGTAGTTCTTGACAAAAAATTCGTCTTCGTTTATATTAAACGTAGAAGATATTTCGTCTCTATTTCTTATATTTATGACGAAATACTTTTGTCTTATTCTTCTTTAATGACAAAATATTTTTCGCTAATTACTTACAAGTAGTCCCAACAAATGTATGGAGACAAAAAATTTGTCACAAATTTATCATTTTCAATGACGATTTTTTTTTCGTCTCTAAACCTTTAGCGACGGCCCTTTGGAGACAAAACGGGTGACGAAAAATGTTCGTCGTAATTATTTGGGTGACGAAATATATACATTTGGGACAAATTTGTTTCGTCTTTAAAATTGAAAAAAATGATATATCTCAATAGTTTATAGGGTCTATGTGTCGTTTTGTCTTATAGGCTATTTTAGCCTATTTATCTTTAGTGCTATTTAGCCAAAAGAAACTAAAAAAAAGACTTTGTCCAAACACCCCTTATTACTTTTCTAAACGTAACTTTCACATTTTGAATTAATATAATTACCAAACTTACTAAGGAATTTTATACTCATTTGTAATAGTTTGAATAATCCACACATTTTGGAATGTTTGAAGAATCTCACATCTTTTTTTTTGGAGCGTTACATTGAAAAATTACGTTTTGAAAAAGTATATTAAATTTTTTTTTTTTTTTTTTTTTTTTGGTATTACATTGGGTCTTACACTAAATTTTTTTTTTTTTTTTGAAATGTTATATTTGGTGTTACATTTGAAAAAAAAATATAATAGAAGTTTTTTTGAAGTGGTTGTAATTAGAGGCTTTTTTTTTTTTTATCAGCAAAAAGAGTTTTGTTGATAGAAAAACATCAGAGTATGAATAACATACTCATAAAGAGAGAGGTGCAAACATCAGAGTGAATATCATCCAACTAGGTTGGCACCTAGACGCCACAATCATCTGCTAGCACAAACTCCAAGTTAAGTTGGTGAGTAACCAAACATGCAGAACAAAAATAAAACAAAACAAACAGAGCACAAAAAAACTAAAAACTACAAAATTAGCAGCAGCCTAACAACAGAATCAACATAACACATCCTTGAAGACCATTCAACCAAAACCCTCTGTTGGAGCATTATTCAGTATAACGTCCACAGCTATACAGACCATTCCACTTAGAGACAATATTACGTTTGAGTTACATTGAATGTTGAAATATTAAAATTATACATTTGTCAAGTTTCTAAGAGTTTTGTTATCTTTTAAATATTAAACATTCACATTATTTGGAATGTTGAATAATCCATATTCAAGTTATTACAATAAAAAGATTTTCAATAAAAATTCATTACAAATTTGATTATATAGGTTTTGTATCACATTCTAGAACAAAAGAAAAAAAACATAATAAAAGGTATACCTAAATTTAATTTTAAATAATATAATTAATCTACATTTTCAAATGAGTGGGACTAATTGGTCTATAGAAACGGACTAATCGATCACATTCCTCAATATTGATTATAAAGTATAATTTTCTTATTAATGATATAAATTTTATAATATTATTTCATTTTAAAATAAAATTATTCAATACATAAATATTATCTATTTATTTTAACGATTGAATTTTTGTTTCATTTTAATAATATAAAATTATTCATTTCAAAAAAAGAAGTACATGACTTTATACTTTTTAGTATACCAAAAATATATCATACATAATTATTACCAAATGAAATATTAACATTCATAATCTTAACTAAAATACGCTGTGCAATTTTCTTTATTTTTTTCCCTCATATTATATATCTATATAATATATCTATCGTTTATTTTTCAAAAAATAAAAATAAAAAATGCCCAGGCTCGACCGAGACTAATTGAGTGGGCCTGGTTAGCGAATTTTCAGCCCATGACGGCCCGAAATATAGTGAGCCGTGAAACCTGACGAGCGAACCAACCCAGGTCCAGTGGGT